GAGAGAGAGAGAGAGAGAGAGAGAGAGAGAGAGAGAGAGAGAGAGAGAGAGAAGCAACAGAAGCAGCAGAGATGTTCGCGAGTCGGAGCAGTCGTCGGCAGCAGTCGGCAGCGCGGCAGCGCAAGAGAGACAGGCAGAGCAGACGCTATATGGGCGGCAGTAAGCAGTCAGCAAAACGGCAGCGGGCGGGCGACCAGTGCGGGGTGAGCGTGGGGGGGAGCGGGGGAGCGGTACTGTATAGGCGGAAGGGCGTTTGCGCGGATGTGCGTGCACTGTAGGTGGAGTGTGGGGAGAGAGTGGGTTGTTGTGTGCGCGCAAGAAAGCACACTTATGCAAGAAGTGGCTTGGAGAAGGCGACTAGCGGACTGAGTGGTGGGAGCGAGCGAGCGGGCGAGCGAGCGAATGGTGGATGGATCTGGTGCTGGCGCTGGCGCAAGAAGAACGGGTGCGCAGCTGTGGTGTATGCGTGATGTGCGCGTGCGTCTGCGTGTGTGCTTTGCGCTTTGTGCTTGTGCGTGTGAAAGGGTGCGTGAATGAGAGGATGGAGTGTGGGGCAAAGGCGGGGGGGGGGGAGGGTAGGGTACTTTACTATCTGCGCATTCGAGGCACTTGATCAGCAGCAGCGGCCCACGCAAGCATATGCGATGCCCACGTACGCATATGCTGCAAGCGCGTGATTGGGAAAGCTTGCACTTCACAGCAGACTAGCGCATCGCAGCGCATTTCATCTGCTGCCTCCCGAGGTCCCTGTCTGCCTTGGTCTCGGTGCGTGAAAGGCGGAGGGAGATGCTGCCTACCGTACGGTGGAGGCATGCCAGCATGGGTGAGATGTTACAGTCACAGTCAGCACACTCACATGCACATTGCGAGTCTTGAGTGTATATAATCATGCCCGACCACGCACTGCAAGCATGCATGCGCGACCGCCGAGGTGCGCCCGCGGCGATGGTTGGGGAGAGCGGAGGATCTGAAAGCTTTTTGATGCTCGCGCATGCAGATGAGCTGCTGCTCCTGCTGCTCCTGCTGCTTACTCGATCGCTTGACGGCGGTGCCAGCACAATGCTGACATCAGGCAGGCAGGCACTCGCATCGTGACTCGTGCATCGCGTGGTGCTCAAGAACAATCAGCGCCAATCTCCATTCTCACGAGTCTGAGTATAGTAGTAGTACCATACCTGGCTGCACCGGTGCCGCGCGCTGATCTTGCCTTCACTAAAGACATATACAAACAAGTCTTCACAGCACATTTCACTTGGTCATATATCGTGTACCGGTATTGTATGTACATTTCAAGGTCGCGAGTCTGCTGATGAGTGTATAGGC